GGAGCACAGGTGAGAGAGTGTGAAAGAAAAGCTACTACCCCCCCAGAGAAAAGAGACAAAAAGCACATCAGTGAGACAGAGGACTAACAGCTGGGTCGCCAGAGTAAAATGTTGGTGTTGTACATTTATGTAAACCATGGATATGTTATATTGTACATTTCAAACCTATCATATCATCCATCAAATAGTGGATGGCATAGCACCTAAGTGGCTGCCAAGCTGCAGAGTACCGTTTAAAACCAACACACAACAAATCAGTTGGTTATTTAGCAAGACATTTGGCATTTAGAGCAGTGAAGACCAGGTATTTCAAGCTTAAACATATTTTTTTCCTATCAATAACTAGGTGCTTTTTGTGCCAAACAGAACCACATGTTAACCACAGTGTTGGTGAAACATAAAGAAATGTAAAGTTTCAACTCATCCATGTACAAATGTTTGTAGAAATATACAATGGTAACATTTATCCTGGCTGATAGGTTGAAACTAAGAGGAGAGAGAAAGGGTTCACCTGAAAGAACTGTTTCAGATTTTAGAAAGAACAGCTTGGATTGCCCCTTTGCAAAGCACCTGCTCCCCTCACAGTAGAAGCCTTACACACACACAGACACACACTGTTTCCAAGGCAATTAAAGGCAGCTGTCAAAGTGCATAATGGTTACATTAGGGCAACCCGGTTCATGTCTCATCAGACCATTAGCCTTTGGGAAAACTCTGTTCTCACTAAACTCACACTAATGACAAAAAGTCACGTAGCAGCAGCTGCAGTCCTGAGGAACAAAATCATTCTTCAGGAACAATGACATCGCAGATTATGTCTGTGAAGATTTCTTGTAATTGTCAAACACCTTTAGACAACTGTGAGATGTCGTAAACACAATGTAAAAATATCATATTTACTTTTGGAAAGAAATTGAATGTTGGTGCACTCATTCCTCACAGTGACTGATATTTCAGAAGAAAAAAGGACATTGCAAACTAAAGGCCAAATTAATACATACAAAGGAAATGAGCTTTGACTGACGCAGCTCCCTTACACTGAACTGGAAGCTGTTCCTGCAATACAGCTTCATAATATAATGTGACATCTCACTGAAGCCCAAATGGACTGTCTCTTTTCTCTTTGTGCCGTCTACAGTGAGGTCAAAGGCCAGCACTCCTGAGCTGGAAGGGAATCAGAGGATCTGACTTGTTGGTTTATGTGGGCTAATGTAGCATTAGCTGCTTAAACTTTATAGGGTGTCATTGAGCATGGTTTCATAACTAATGTCACCATGCTCTCTGTAAGTACACTCAGAGCCATAAGAGTCACATCTTTACCAATAACACCAGCCTTATAATCAGTGACGCCTGACTCCATTCACTCATTCTGACATTGTGTCATGTTAGCTTACTGAGTTGTTTTTCGCCTACATTCAGGAGACAGAGCAACATTAGCGTTCATTTGTTGTCGTGTTTCTCCAACATTCACTCTCCTTTTAGCTCTGATTTGGTCTCCACCAACTCCCAAGAGAAATATCTGGCTCTTTAGTTGCAACGTGTTGTGCTATGTTCACTAGCTAGTTGCTATCTTTGTTTGTCTGCTAGCATAACATGGGCGTTATGCTAGAGCTTTTTCGGCAGTGACACTGAACCAAAACAGTAAAGTTGCAGGCCTTGAAACCAAAACACTGAACAGAAGGATGTTTAACACTCTGTCAAGATAAGAACTCAGAGTCACTGTTGTTACTGTTAGAAACCCCTTCAACATTACACCGTCATTTGATCTAATGTTAATTTGAAAATATTGATTTGTGCAGCTTTGAGTAAAATGTCGAAAGAAGGACTTTTACTCCACCACAGAAGTTGTTTTACTGCACTTACTTTCTTTTCTGAGCTTTTAACTGCATGTCACAGTCTTCATCCAGCTAATGGAATTGATGCTGGCCTCATAATGTGACCTGAATAAGTCACATGACAACTGGTGGTCATATATGGGGGGAGATTATAAGTGCTATATTGGTTCAAAGATAGTTTTGGATAGGAGTGGCCTCCACCCACAAACATAAGGGAGTCTCACTGGGATGCTCTCTGTGGGACCCGCTTTGTCAGCAGTTTCATTCCTTGTCCTAATTATAACCCTTGTCCTGGAGTGCCCTCTGGACCCACAGCCAGGCTCCCAGTGTTAAGACCAAATGCACTGCTCCCATCACTCCAGTTTTAGCCTCCTTGCACTGGTTATAGATTTCTTTTAGTCTATCTTTAAATTCTAGTCATTACTTACAGGCTTCAAATGGCCAGGTGTCATGTTAGTGATTTTTCAACTCCTTAATGCCCCAAAGGCCTCTTAGATCAAGCCATTGCCAGAATAAATATTGGCATTGTACGTTTCTTCAAACCAAGGATATGTTACGCTGGTACATTTCATATGTAATACATAATACTTTATGTTTCTTTAATTTTCAATTACCAATTTAATGTTGGACAAAGCTGTGATTAATGTGTGGTTAGGTTAAGGCCCAAAAACACTAGGTTAGGGTTAGGAACACATAATAATTTCTTGGCCTGTTGTTAAAAAATACCCACTTTTGTTGGTCGCAAATAATCTTCTGCTTTTTGCTGCTGCTTGGCAGAAGACACACGCTTTTGACAATACAAACACGGCTGGAAATGTCCAAGACTGAAAAAGGATGGCATGGTAGTGCAGTGGTTAGCACTGTCGGCTCACAGCAAGAGGGCTCTGGGCTTGAATCCATCAGCCAGCCGGGGGCCTCTCTGTCTCGGGTTTGCATGTTCCTGTCCGTTTTTCTCAGGGTTCTTGGCTTCCTCCCACAAACCAAAGAAATGTGCATTAGGTTATTGGTTACTCTAAACTACCTGTAGGTGTAAATTTGAGTGTGAATGGTTGTCCGTCTCTATATGTGTCAACCCTGTGATAGTCTGGTGACCTGTCCAGGGTGTACCCTGCCTCTTGCTCAAAACCCTGTACCAGGATAAGCTGTTATGGAAAACAAATGAATGAATGAATGTTGTTAAAAAGATGCCTGCTTCTATCACTACAAACTTGTCTGGAAATGTCCCACACTGTTAAAAAAATGTCTGCTTTTGTAGTGAAGAACACGGCTGGAAATGTCCTGATCTGTTGCTAAAAATATCCACCTATTCGGTTTTGGATAGTTGTCTGCTGCTGTCAGCTGCTCAGGAACCGCTACCCGCTTTGTCACTACTAACACAGCTGGAAATATTCGAACCTGTCTTTAAACTTAACTGCTTTTGACACTACACATACAGCTGGAAATGTCCCAAACAGCTGTTAAAAAAATACCCACTTTTGTTGCTATAAACGTAGCTCGAAATGTAACAAACTATTGTTAAAAAATATTTGCTTTTGACACTACAAACAGCTGGAAATGTCCCAACCTGTTGTTAAACATTTTGTCAATATAAACACAGCTGGAAATGTCTTGACCTGTCATTAAAAATACCCGTCTTTTTGGTTGTGGATACTGTGCTGGTGTCTGTTGCTTGCCAGCTGCTACCGGCTTTTATCGCTACAAACACAGCTAGAAATATTCCAAACTTTCATTAAAAAATACCTGCTTTTGACACTACTAACACAACTGGAAATGTCCCAACTCACTGTGACTCACTTTTGTTGCTACAAACATGGCTAGAAATGTACCTAACTGTTGTTAAAAAATTTGTTGCTATAAACACAGCTGGAAATGTCCTGACCTGTCCTTAAAGAAAATGTCTGCTTTTGTTGGTCTTGAGCAGTGTTCTGCTGCTGTTTGCGGCTTGGCAGCTGTCTAAACTAGGAGTTGTGCCATCAGTCATCCCCTCCTCCTCCTCCTGATGAGAAACTCAGCTTATCGTCATGTTATCTGAACTCCTTCATACATATGAAATGTACAACTGTAACACATCCATTGTTTGCAGATACATACAATGCCAACATTAGTTACTGGTGACTGGGCTGCAATGATCTGCTGGGTTAGGCTGACCTTAACCTGTGAGTCCAGGTTAAGGTCAAGATGTGATGGTTTGCTGTACTGGCACGTCAGCTTTGCACCAGTCTTCCAGTTGGTATTCGGGCTTTTAAATCTTATCTTTAAAATGTTTTTTATAGGCACACCTTCTTGTCTTGTTTAACAGTGTTGTGCTCCCACCAGATCATGTTTATTTTGACTTGTTGTTTTTTACCTTATGTAACTATTTTTTATGCAGTTGATTTTTTTTTTTTTTTTTTTTTACAAAAATTTTCACCTTAAAGCACTTCTGCTCCTTGCTTGAAAGATGCTTCAAATAAAATTATTACCATTAAGCTACTTATTATCAAGGATGCAACTATGAAGAGCACTGCTGAATTTTAGACAGCATATTGCTATTGACAACGGAGCGTTTACAGTAAGGATGCCACATGAGCCTTTTCTCCTGTGCCCGTCATCACTCTGATGTGGACCACTATTCCTCCATCTAATTGCTCATTTAAAACGGAAGTGGATTTTGTTAACACAATAACAGGGAGATGCAATCTCCCAGTCTACAAAGACTACATTTAAATAACACAATTATAAAACATTGAATACAGCCTGTAGTGACAGTGACAGGTTTATAGGAGGTAGAGGGATTGCTCAAGAGCATCTCGGCACAAAGTGACCACTTTCAAGCCTCATTCAAATCTGAAGCAGCAAGAAGCAGGAAGCAGATATGAGTAAAGAGCAGCACTGACTGTTCATTAGGCTACAGGAGGAAGGGTGTTTTAGGGCAGATTTGACACGCAACAAGCCTGGAAAGGGCTCAACTGAAACGGCAGCCAAGTGAAGATCAGCACCATGGAGAGCGCAAAACCTGTCCAGCACCTGGGTACAGGGGGGTTTAAGGGACATTTCATAAATGCCAGTAAACACCAGAAAAAGAGATAGGCTACAAACTTGTAATATTAAAGAAAGAGCACCCGTCTTGTTAAGTTTAAAGTGCTGGTCTGTGGCGCACTAAAACACATTATATTGCGATCCTACCTTGTGCACTAATTCCTCATCATATGTCGGAGCTGGTGGGGTCTTCGCCTGGCTGTCGGTGGTCTCTCTGGATTCGTACCCACTATCGGGATGGATCTCCGGGTAAGCCGTGGTGTAGTGCGCCGTGATCGGCTCCATCGACTCCATCCGCTCCATCCTGTCGTCCTCCGCGCGCGCGTTTACAACGGAGGAGCCGGGTGAGGAGAATAAGAGCTGACAAAACCACGCAACTCCGTCTCTCTCTTTCTCTGTCTCTCCTCCCCACGCAGCCCTCTCCTCTGCGCGCTCCTCGCTCCTCTGCAAGCTCCTCCTGTGGCGTGAATCACAGTCTGCGGGCTCCTGCCTACATCACTTCACATTTAAAAGGCATGTCGTGATCGCTCACCCACATCACGCTGCATACAATACAGGAGGTGGGGGGGAGGTGAGGAGGATGGGAGCAAGAGGAGGATGGACACAGGACGCGACCGAGCAGCCATTGAGAGAATTAAGACGATGTCAAGTTTGTACAGTGGCAGGTTGTTTGGATGGGAGGATATGAGGAAGATGGAGGATGGGGATGAGGGTGATGAGGAGAATGTGAGGATGAGGCGGCATTCAAGTCGTCACCTGTGGCTTCACTTCGCCTGTGTATTTCCATGTTCTGCTACTTTATACTTTTACATGTAAATATTGAACTTTCCATCCACTACATTTATTGAACAGCATTCTAGGTCCACTTATGTTCATTTTCGCCAACTTTCTGTGCATTTCTTAAAAAAAAACTCTGTTAAGCACTTTCCCATGTTTTAAACTGTCCTGACCCCACATGCATGCTGTCCTTTTTGTCCTTATGGTCCCAAAGTTTTCCATTTTTTCAATCTAGCAAAGTACAAAAAAATTATAGGCCAAATTACTTTTTTGCACTGATAATCACATGAAATATTACTATACAGCAGTTGAAGATTAAGAAAATAATGTGTCACTTTTTATGCTAGCTGTTTGAGACCCAAACTTTTGTTGCATTTTTAATTTCTCCAAGCCATTTGGGATTGGTATAGGACCCGACAGGTATAAAATAAAGTAAATATTTTTCAATAACAATTAAGTCCCAGTGTCCTTAAACAAGTTCCTCCTAATTAACAGCATCTTAACTTGTTACTGTTGCTTAAATTAGTTACATTTTTATTCCATAAAAAAACACAAACGTTATTAATCATAAATAGAAATGTTTCAACCATAAAATCTGATTAGGTTTTGCACTTTGTCCACATTGGTGTCGGGATCAACTGCAAACTGACTTGTCAGAGATGGCTGCCATCTTTTTTTTTTTTTTTTTTTTTTTTACATGGATTAGTCATTGTACTTATATTACCACTAGATGGGACATAAAAGTGTCCACAAATGAGGACAACAGGTCTGAGTTAAGTAGAATGAAATACAGTATAAGGTCCCAAAATGTGATGTCCTCATATGAGGACACAGTCTCAGGGGGAATATATAATATACATGAAAATACAAATGGTAAATGTATACTGTACAATATTTGACTGTAAATTTACAGTAAATTACTGGCTACTGGTTGCATTTCTTTAACAGTAAATTACTGTTAATTTTTACAGTTAATTGTTCTAAAATGACAGCTGTATGCTGTGATCTCACAGTAGTTATGTGATTTAGCAGTATTTTCCTGTAAAATTATTTTTTAACTGTAAACTCATAGTTAAAGCTTGTTATTACTGATGGTAATGGTACATTCCTGTAAATTACTGAATTTAACTGTAACTTCACAGTTTATGTACATTTGATTACTGTGATTTAACAAAATGCTCCTGTAGAATTGTTGTATTTCATTGTAATCTTACATTAAACTCCATATGTTACTGTGATTCATCAGTATGCTACTGTAAACTTACTGTGTTTACCTGCATGAACTTCACAATAAAATTCCAAATTTGGTTAAATATCACAATAAAATATGTATATATCAATAAAATGTCTTTCAAAACAATGTTTAATGGTCTCCAGACATAATCTCATCATTTCAAACTGGTTTTCTCACCTTATACATATAATGTTATATATAAAAAATATGTTGCTGTCAATAAAGCAATGTGTTCATCAGTGTTAGACATGCAAACATATGATAATTTCGAGAATAATAATGAATAAATAAATAAATAATAATATAGCGGAAAAAAGATCACAGTATGATATTATTATACAGTAAAAATTGTATTGTATGTAGTAGTAATTTTTGGTAATTTGTTGTACTGTAATATTAAGAAAAAGCCTATTAGATCAGCTCTGCGCGCGTCGCCATTAACTTCCACTAGAGTCTGCACAAGAGTCATCTTTGCTTTGGCTTTGCTTTTTCTCAGGAATGATGTCAGTTTAGGGTGAGTTATTAATGCCGGTAACACTTTCTGTCCTGCCTTGGTGTTAATATTTACCCGCTGGTTAATCTCGGGGGATCTGGTGTCTGACTCTGTACCGTGCACAGGACAACTTTCCAAAACGTTGGGAGGTGTGTTTGAAAGCTGTGGCAATGTTTGTAGAGACAAGTTAAAAGTTACATGTCTTTTTAATCTCCGACACCAAGAGCGATTCCTGCGATGGCTCCAGAGCTGCTGATTGTCCTAGTGGCTTCAGGTGAGACCAACACTTTCTACACTATGACACGTTTTAGTGGTTCATGGCCACAATCAGTTGTATAGCCTACACATTTTTTCTTTTACCATTACATTACATCAGTCATAACACGGGGTAAATGTAATTTCTGTTTGTGCAATATTACAATGTAAACCTAATCAGGGCTGGGTGATATGGAGAAAATCAAATATCAAGATTTATTTTTTAATATTTTTTTATTACCAAATGCCTTCATATGGTTATTGCCACGATATGGTGGGGTTGACTGTTGGTGCTTTTAAATATTTTGAGATTCTTGATAAATAATCATTAATAATGTAGATATAATGAGTGAGCAGGTAGAGGCGAGAAAGTGTTGTAGTCTGGTAATTTCAGAAAATGACATCACTTTACTGTAATGCAGCCATTATAACCAGGAAGAGACAACATCTAAGACGATATTTAGTCTCATATCACGATATTAATGTAATATCCATAAATTGCCCAGCCCTAGCAACAAAGTAATCTGACACAACATAAATGTGTCACATGATGGGACATTTCTGTCAGCAAAACTTTTTAATAATTTACATGAAGTAAACTGTGATTTTTTAACATAATTTTGTCATATTAACTTTGAAAATGCAGCTTATATGACACAAAAGGTATCAGGTTACTGGATCTTTATTTAAATGTGTATTGATATGATGCATAACTACCTACTAATTTTACCCACAAACAAGTAATTTTCCCTACAAACACCAAATACTGTATTGAATATAATCAAATTTTAAAGACAACACATTTACACATTTTCAGTGACAAATTTGCCAATGGGGTTAACCCAAAACATTCTGTTACATTGACATAATATAAAATAATAAGCAAGTTAAAGTTAAAGGATTTTATTTCTGTCCCATCAGTGCATGAGTGTTTTTCTTGGCTTTTCATGGAAATACAGAAAATTGTAGCTTTAGAGATATCACAGTGCATTATATAGTATGGTTGGAATGTTATTAGTAGTAGTATATCAAATTAATTTTGTATTGATGAAAACTTAAACAAACAGATCTCCCTGAATGACCAATAAACCTTTCATCAAAACTCACAGATTCTTAAACACCAATGAGGAAACATTTGTTTTGTACAGAATTTCATGAAAGACATTTACAAATGGCAGAGCTTACTGCATGTACGTGGGCATCAGGTAAACTTTACTGCCATTTGGTGTTCAGAGAGTGAGATACATGCAGGGGGGCATATTGCCCATTCTCCTTACTTACCTTTAGTGTAGAGTCCACATGCAGCCTTACTGTATGCTGTATCTCTCCTCGGCCTCAGGGTCCTGTGTGGCATTTTGTTTGGTGATCCTGATGCTGGTGGTGGCCCTGTACAGAAAAGATCCTCTGTGCTGCATATTCAGACCCTCCACAACAGAGCACTACACAGTAAGAACAACTCTCTACTACAGAAAGACTTCAATCACATTAACTGTTCAGTAAGAATTTACAGAATCGACCTCTTCATACCAGATTCTATTTGACTGTCTTTAGGCAGTGGTGTACAGCTGTAGCTTCCACAAATGTAATACTTTATGACTCCCCACTCAGAGAAATAATCTTCCCATCCTCATTTGCTCCCTTGATACACTCTCTATAGTATTTTTTTCTACTGTTTTTAGAAATTGAGTTTCAACACAACATTTAGTATACACAAGTCTATGTGGGCAGTGTACAAAAACAGCAGTAGAAAATCAATAAACCATCAACAACCACAAAAAAGTAGAATAGTCCCAGAGACATGGCCTGATTCACCTGTTAAGGCATACATATGCTGTTGGGACCGTCCCGCCCCACATCAACCACCCTTTATGTACTAGAATATGGATGTCCGACCCGAGCTGGTTACAGTTCAAAAAGAGTTAAAGGCGATGATGACTCAATGACAATAGTATGACTCAGAGTTTATTAATTAGAACTGCTGATGAAAGTGTGTGTGTGTGTGTGTGTGTGTGTGTGTGTGTGTGTGTGCCTATTGACGGTCGGTAACAACAGCAACAACAATAGGGTTACAACGACAAACTGAGTGCCTCAGCAACATTGCATTAGTTGCGTTCTGCTCAGGTTAGGTTTGGACATGAAACAGAATGCGTGTTGAGCTCGGGTTGGGCTCGCCTACTCCTGACGCTGGCTTGTGACGGGTTCTGACAGAAATACGCAGTCCGAGCCGCCCTCTAGTATGATCCAACCTGTGCTACTATGCTGGAGTAATAACAGGTTTCTGTGTGTCAGTTAGTTTATAGTAATTTCATTAAACACACAACTTTATTTAGGAATATGACCATGCAACACTAGTATGATAATAGCTACTACTAATACTAATAAGAAAACTATATTAACTAAAATAATAATAATAATTTGCAGGGATCAAATTATTCTAGTCTCCTGCAGGTTCTGGGGCCCCTAAGGGTCTTGAGCACCTGGGCAGAAATTGCCATATTCCTTATGATAAAAAGTCAAGAATCTAGGAGGCCTGCATTATTAGTGTCTCTGAGCATTACAGAGTAAGGATGAGAAGGAAAAGGCGAACCAGAGTGTGAGAAGTGAGTGTCACTGGAGGGCTTTTTGTGTGCACAGCTCCCCGTTCCTTTTCCTCTGTGCTCCTGCCAGCTCGTGTGTCAGTTCTGTCTGGACACAGCTTCACTGTGGCATTCAAGCACATGTTAGTAGCAGCATGCATGGCAGATTAAAGATCAGCAGCTGAAGCCAGACTACAACCACACTGCCACAGAGAGAAATAGCAAGAACCCTCCTTAATACCCACCAGCCAGAAGGTCAGAGGTCACGGTCGACTACACAACATCACCCCTGGAGCTGACAGGGATTCTTATCAAAGGGCTCCTCAGTGGGGTGCATATTTACCAGTGTAAAGCCTCTTCCTGTGTCGTCCACTGGTTCACATACCTCTAGTATTATCTAGCCATACAGAAAGATACAGTTTTGTTTTAATGGATTTTTAGATATTCATGTCAGAGGTTTCTGCCTCAGTGGTAGTTAATGGAGTAAAATGAATTGGTTACACAAATGACCACTTTCAAAAAGTACCCTCTGAGTGAAATATCACGACCACCACTGCTGTAGATGTTGACATGGGACACAGACACCAATTATACTATGTAGAGTAACTTAACTGAAACCATTAACTCTGTAAAATGAAAACTAATCTCTGATGATCTTTCTTCCCAGGATGATCCTCCTCATTACCACAGCAGGCACTCTTTGACTGGCATCACTAATGAGCACAGCACTGCCATGAACCAGGGAGCTACTGGAGCACAGGTAGAAAGTGTGACTTTATAACTAATGAGAACTGCAAAGATTTGAAAAGTATCCAGTGCATCTGCCAGAAGTTTCATATCAGATTTTTTTCTGCATGTGTGTGTATGCAGTTTCCCGGAAGGCTGTTCATAATAGGGAAGCCAAATGACTACCACCTGAATGGGGCTCTGCCGAGGCTGCCTTCCTATGAGAGCGTTCGTAAGAAGGACCGGCAGAGACATATCCACAGTATGATCTCACAACGCTTTGGCCTCAGTGGCTGCCATGATGAGGTGAGCACAGTGAGCATATAATATTACTAGAACTACTACTATAATTTGTTAGCCTACATTAAATGGGAAAGTGAGGCAATTATCATCTTCAAATTGGCAAAGAGGGGGCACCCAAAAGCAATTATGCTTTGGCACCCAAATGGCTAGCAACGGCCCAAGGTGAGCAGACAGAGAGCTACAAAATCTGTTCTGTCCTGTCAGTGGCTCCAGGTACTTTCCCTTACAAACTTTGATTGCACTTCACCTTGACATGAAAAAGGTTTTAAATAAACATTCAATATTTTGGGAAATACACCTATATATTCACTTTCTTTCCAAAAGTGTCACAAGAAGATTGATGCCCCTATCATTTCTGTGGGGCAAGTATGAAACTAGGAGTTAGGAGGTGGTCAGCTAGCCTAGTTCTCTTCAGGGTTCAAAATTATGTGTCTCCTGCTCACCAATTAACACCTTCTATCTCATTTGTTAAATCTGTATCACCTCAGTAATGTGAAAAAGAGACTTTGTCATTTCCATGGAGAACATCCTAACAGTTTATCCTTCCACTCAGGACTTCTGTGCAACACATCCAGCTGTAGCATGGGTTTCTAGGTATGGTTAGTCAACACAGATTGTAGACAGTGGTGCTCCCAGAAATTTTTCATAGGTGTGGCCAGATGGGGCAACTGAACATCTTGGGTTGGCACACCAAAACCAACAGCCGTAACTGAATTTCAGGAATTCGATTTTACTGTTTATGAATACAGGCCGGTTAAAAACTATGTCAATATGGAGAATTAATGAATCACATTCTGATATACTTTGGTTACAGTTAACACTAGTCTACTAATTATCTGATGTACATAGAATAATACCGCTACAGTCAACACTTTGAGTTCTTCAGCAATCCTGTTTTAATGTGTTATTATATTGGACAATTCATTGTTCTTCAAAAAGGCTAGTTGTCCTTTTCCTCAAAAAGACAAATATATAGCTTTGATTTGAAGGAGTGTGTTGATTGTAAGGAAACAACATTTAGTGGGAACAAGCCTTTTTTATGCTCAAACTTTTCATTGCTTTTTCAGTATTGGAACACAGTACATTATAAATGAACAAACAATATTCAAAGTTAAAAGAAAAGAGTTATAAGGAAAAAAGAAAAGGGCGGGCACATTCTTCTTGGCAGTGTGTAACACTGGTGTCCTAAAACGTTTATAACACATCATATTGTCATGCATGTTCATACGCTTAGCATAAACAATTATATAATGCACAAAGAGCAAGCATAAGAACCACAGATATCAAGTGACACATTAATCATCTTTACTGATCATCTCCATATAGAGACCTCAAATGTTTCTGAAAACCTTTAAACTATTATTTACTTTGTGAATTCTTTAAAGCTGATTTTCTCCTTTGACTTTCAATGTCTCAGCACTATCTTGTTCCCCATGATGAGAGCTAGTGTTACCCAGGAACATATCTTTGAAGACATACTTTTGTGGCCTCCACTGGCAAGATGCCCTGTATACATAATGCTGGACCCTCAATGAGATCTGTTTCCAGTATATTGTTAATACATTTGACAAGAGCTAACCAGAAGTCATGGGCCATTTCACATTCATAAAGGGAACAAGTCTTCTTAAGTTTAGGGGAACCTTGTAAGTACCCATAGAACCCATTTTCATTCAGATATCTTGAGGCGAGAGTTCAAGGGACCCCTCTGGAAATGGCCATGCTAGTTGTTCCCTTGCCAAAACTTGCCCTAAAGGAGGTTTACTTAGCCCCCTTCCTGACAAGCTATGCTGACATGGATGGTACCAATGGATACCTTAGGTAGTCTGTGCATGCCAGAACCCCTTAAAGACAATAATGTTGACCTCCAATTATTTTCACCAGGCTTGTTGCCATTTTTGTTCTCACTTATCTGTCTCAAATTTTCAAGGATGTGGCTTGGTAGCTAGAAAGCTATATAGGAAGGTAAGGTCCACATTCTTAATGCTGCCCAGAGAGCTCACATAATAGTGTTTTTTTTCCAGCTGGCAAAAACATCCGTCAGTTAGCACAACACCAGATATTTCAATTGCTGAATAAACTGGAGGTGTTGGCATGATTTAGATGACATTGGCTAACAGTTCCCATAATGATACAAATAGCATATTTTTGTAAGATACTCTTCCCCAGTTTGTAACACAGCCTTTCCTTTATAAATTTTTAGTCTCCAGCTGATGCTGTAATAACCCTGATGTCACCATGATTGTTTTCTCAGTTATTTGAAAGCTCCTCCAGAGCCACAGAAGTTAATATACAATCTTTTTGTACAGGCTGAATCGTACTGCCCATGTCTGTGAACTTATTTCAAATGTCTTCAACTGCGTAGTTCCATTTACCTACATCTTTACGTTTATTACAATACAGTCTTTTCTTTGTCACATTCTGTTCCAGCCTCCACCAACATATGAAGAGACCCTTCGCCAGTCCCTTGACATTTTACCTGTGAATCTGAACTCCCTGGATGTTCACCTGTCAATGCACCCCCAAGATCACTCCTCGAACCTCACTGAAGACACACACAACCCCATTCAACCACCCACACCGCCACAGGAACCAGCTTCCTCCCGATGCCCAGCACATAGCTCCACGTTTCTGTCAATCTGAAAGTCTGCTGTCAAGCCACAGCATTAGGAAAGGGGCTACTTTTGTTCGAGCCAAGTGAGTGACGCCATCAGACACAAGAGAAGAGTTTCTGGAAGAGCTGTTGATAGATCCCTGTGATCCTTCTTAGAGGTATTCTCATGATAATGACTCTGGCTATACACTCCACAAGGGTGACAATGACACAGCTCTGCTTTGTCCATTCAATTCCTGGCAAGTTTTACATTGTGTTTTTCCAAGAATGGCATAATGGGAGGATGGATTTAAAGGCTTGACAAATGTGATTCCTTAGAGACAATCAGGTTATTTTTGTTCTGAAGACTTTTATTCCACATGTTTGAATTCAACAGATTTTATATTAATTAAATCCTTAATGGTCAGTGCCTCCATCAGTCTTTCACTACTCAGTCTTTTCAGAAACCTCTGAAACAACATTTAGATCATCATATGATACCATGGCTTTCCACCAACACCCAGTATAATCTCACCCTTTTAGGATTAATAATTCACTGCATTGATAGAATTGTGAGGAAAAAAAATTGATTAGCTGTTAAATGTAGTCACAGAAAGAACCCTAATAGAGAAAGTGGCACTTTTTGGTTCTGTTCTAATTAAGAAAACCTCAATTCCATCGACATTTGTAATAACGCAAGCAACTAAAAATTCAGCTTTAAAAATAGCCTTACTCAACAGTACGTCATAAGGTAACAATATTGTTATTATGGGGATATTGTGGGTATCCAGTAGTGTTTGGTCAATATTCCTTACTTCAGAGGCCTTTAACAAGCCCCAGTTTTGTGAGCTCAGACATTTCTGTAAACAGCAGGACAGAGAGGAGCATGAAAACATGTAAGACAGCAAAGATGACAGCTAAAAGGACATGGACAAAACCAACTTGTGATGACATGAGTGCTCGTACAGCCATTCCTGTAAATTTTCATAAGAGCTGAAGTTTTTTCGTAAATTTAAAGTCATTTTTGAGTAACTTTGTTAGCTCACATTTCTGTATTTAACAATAAGTGTGATGGATGGATGCCGATTTGTCTTAAAATGTGGACCGTAAACCCCAGGACCATGTCTGTCTATAGTCGAGCTGCTTCATCTCAGCAAGTGAGATACACACTAGCAGCTCAGTGATGCTATAGGCTACTTAGAGACCATGATGCTTTGAGCGGAGTGCCAACATAAGCATGCTAACATGCTCAAAGTGCCTTAACATGCTGATGTTTAGCAGGTAATGTTTACCATGTTCACCACCCTAATTTAGCATGTTAGCATGTTAACATTAGCTTATTAGCACTAAACACAAAGTACACCTGAGGATTATGAAAATGGCATTTGGTCAAAAACCAAAATACTGAACCAATTAAAATTTTGACCTGATGATGAAACTGAATAAAAAGTCATCAGAGCGATTACAGTTTGTCTTGTAGGAGACACAAATATCTGAAACAAATGAAATGGCAATCAATCAAATAGTTATTTAGACATTTCACTTAAAGGTCAATTTGCAGGTGGCGCTAGAGGGAAAGTCAAGGGGTCATTAGAATCAGTGGGATTCATCATCTGGGAACCATGAATATCTGTACAGGGTTTTGTGCCAATTCATCAAGTAGATTTTAAGATATTTTACTGGACAGGTGAAAATTTTGACCTGCTGATGGCACCAGAAAATAAGTCAGGGAATCAACTAAATCATTAGGATTCATCCACAGAGCACCGTGAACATCTGTACCAAATTTCATGGTAATGCATCCAATAGTCGTTGACTCATTTAACTAAAAGCTACAACTATTAACCTGTTGGTAATGGGCTTCATCCTCTGAGAATCATAAATGCGTGTACAATGTTTCATGCTGATCAGTCCAATAGTTGTTGTGATGTTTAAGTGGTGGACCAATGGACTAACTGACAGACAAGCTGACATTTCCAACAGTAGAAACCAAAAACTCAATGTCATTGGGTGTTGATATTTGGATGACTTTAGGTTGTCAGGTGACCAAATTCCAACGTCAGGACAAAGTCTAATGTTGTCGTCATTTGACGTAGAAAACTGATGACATATGACATTGATATTTTGTTTAAGTTGTGTTATTAAGTAACCAATTCCCAGCGTCTTTCAAATGTTGCACACCAGTGTCATCTTGACGTATAACAACATTTGGTTGTAAGTTATGAGAATCAAAACCCAAAGTCTGCAAAACGTCATAATGTAAATGTCCCCACAACTTGACATTTAAACATTCTTAGACACTCAAAATATTGTCAACCTGATTTTCATTCTAACCTAACTTTTATGTCTGTCCAGTGTAAGGGTTCAGCATCTTTCCGATGTCATATTGACGTCTGATGCCAGGTTAGCCTAAGAAACTTGGTTTCACTCTGGTAGAAGTTTCTTTGGCAAGACCAAGCATTGCTTAAACAGTGACAGTGTTTGGCCTGCACTCATCATCAGTGACTGTTACTCACAGTTTGAGAGGTAAAGTACGACAGCACAGTTACTATTTAACCCAGATCAAACACTAACCACAGAAAACACAAACCAACCATAACCAGGAAGCATCTGGGAGAACTAGACTACACTTTGCTGCTTGTGGATCCACTGATGACCTGCACCGATACTTGCCTGGACTGAGAACCAAAAATACAGATCTCGCACAATTGTCAGTGGCTATTCAGTAACTTCATGACTCATTTTTTGGTTTCTAAAGAGGAAAAACACAAACAGTGTAACAGGTACCAAAGAATCAAATTGCTCACACTTGGTTACTTGATGCTGGTTTATGGAAGTGTTCCTCAGTTTATCCTCGGTATATTATCCAATCAGACTGTGGAGTGCACAGCAACCCACAAACAGTGATGTGCCCTCCACCATCTGAGACATAGAATGCCATGTCTGCAAACTGCTCACATCCATCATTCGTTCTGCTTCATGACAGCGTTTCAACTCCCATATAGTTTACTAAGCCTTACCCACACTCCCCCTGCATACCACAAGCCTCTGAAATACAGCCGTTCCCATTTATCTCCTAATTCCTGTTCAAAGCTCGTTCAAAGAGATGCTGATAAGCTCGTACCATTCACAACAAATTTTACACAGGGATTGTTGAAGGACACTGGCAATCATCAAAGGGCTCCTTTTATCCAAGTGACAGAGTAATCATAAACCTTAGGAAGTATAATTCTTAAAAGGAAACTACGGCTATTTTCAAAATCCATACATGTTGTTCCTATGGACAAAGACAGTCCAACAGTATTATTAAACATGAAAAACTCTCTCTGCTATCCAAACACTAGAGTTAAATTTGCAGAGTCATCAAGTATAAAGTCTGGAGCTGCTCCATGGACAATTAATTGGGAAAGACTTTATAGATGACAATGAGAGCACCCAGGGGAATGTTCTGAATATATGGGTACATTTTCTATTTTACAACTGTGAACACTACAATAGAATAAAGCTCATTTGGGTATAAAGAAGACAACAAGCAAAATCAGGCTCCTATTCATCGTCTAGGGAGCAGCTCCAGATTTTATATTTAGAGATACCTCTCAGGTTTCTTTAAGAGTGAATCTCATGTTCACAAATATTGATTGAACTTTCCTAGGCCATGGAAATAACATAATAGAATTCTTAATTTGGGTGGTATTCTCTTATAAGATTGCTTCTTTTTTCTGTAACTTTAATTTATTTAGAAATAGGCCTGGAATGTCAATATGTGGATTCTAACACTAGTAAGTCAAACTGAGGAGCATATTAAGTACTGGAGGAGTGATTGTACGACATCATGTGGTCAATTTTGGTATTACACCTTTCCAACAATTTGTTTCCACATAGCACATAAACTTGGTTTGAGGTCTTAATTAGTTCTCTGTAACATTAAAAATGTGTAAATCAATATGCAACAATCAATGTTAAAGCAAAGATGAATATTCATAAATGATAAATCAATATTTTTACACTCATAAAGGGGACAGAATCATCAGCATTTCTAATGCTGCACTGACTAAAATAAGAAATGAGACTACAACTAACAATTACATCATTGTTGATCAATCTGACATTTTTGTCTTAATAAAATCATTAATTCTTTGGTGTATAAAATGTCAATCCAAAGCCCAAAATGTCTTGTTTTGTCCACAACCCAAAGACATTCAATTTACTGTCAGAGAATTAAGAAAGTGAAATCAAAAGATATAGACATTTAAGCTAGTTAAGCTTACTCTGTAATTATTGTGTGCAGATTTGGAAGTCAGATAAACGAGTCTCAACAACCAGCTACTGCAGTGCACCTCCAAAACGCTCTGTCAGTTCAGCAGCTTCCCTCTCATCATTTCTGCTTTGCATGAAAACTGAGCTCAGACAAACCAACAAATACAGTAACATGTCATGTGAAATAATATATGGTTCATGTAGGACCCCATTGCCTATGGTAAAAAGTAAAAAAAAAAAAAAAGGAGATTTCTGGCATTTTTAAGGAATATGTCACCCACAAACTGACCATTTGCATATCAATTACTCACCCTGTGTTACAGACAGATGTTTTTAATATAGTGTTGCTGTTAATGCGGACCCCTTTATTTCAATTCATTAACAATGTTCTCTGTTTTTAGATACTTTGCTTACCATGGAGAAAAAAAAGTTTCTTCCCAAATTCAACATAACATGGTGTGAGTAACTGATAAACCAATCATTATTTTGACTGTGAAATGTTCCTTTAAGCAGCCACTGATGTTTAAGTACTAACACATGATAATTTACTTAACATAAAACCAGAGTCATTAAAGACTTTCACATATAAAACTTTAATTCAGTAAATACAGTACATGTTCTATTACAGCGATGACACCTCAGTTTTAAGGTATCCTTACTTCTTGGTGGACATGAAGCATCTCAGTGAACAAAAGCTGTAATGATTGACACCAGCCCATGGTTATGCGCCAGTATCACAGACTGTATTGGGATGATCTTATTATTAAATACAGGGAAAAAAAAGTCTACAGTGTGCGTTGAATTGTTGACTTTTTGTAAATAAACTGGAAATCCATGGGTGACAGAACTGAACTCCTGTTTAATAGGTGCGAAAGAGTGTCAAATAATCATGGAACTCTGAGACAGGGAACCAAGGAGAGGCCAACAGTCTGCAGGTTTACACTGACTCCTCTCTGTTCTCTGGCTGATGGTCTGCTGCTTACTTAGTTCTCCACAAATCAGTCAAAACAAATCCTTGCTGATCCCACAACGCGCAAGAATACCTGGGAAACAATGACGTCCCAGCCCAGTCCAGTCAGTGTTAGACCATGTCTATCAGTTTAAACTTGCCCTCCTGTTTGAGGGGCACGACATTGATGAAAGTCTTGTAGAGCACGGCTCCTTTTGGCAGCTTGGTGATGACCCGGATGACCTCGGGGTCGCGTGGTGGTGGGATATAGACTTCCTTGGTGAACCTGACGTAGCCGTCCTCCAAAGCAAAGAGCGTCTTGTTGGTTCCCATCCCCACCTGTGGGACAGAGATGGAGGAGATGAGAATGTGCAAATCTGCACTACATCACATCAACATTCTCTGATACAGAAAGTGTAACTCACATGTGCTCCTGGGTGATACCTCATCAGCCTCTGTGTCGCAAGGATGTTACCCGCATGGACAAAGTTACCTTGTGACCAAATGAAAAGAGATGTTAGATCGTCTAAGCTCCAGTATTAACACTCATTATTACCAATGTCGTGTTGACTACCCTTCTGGTTATTTTCTTTAAATTTTTAACAGTGTTTTGCAAACAACCCTGATTCCAAAAAAGTTTGAACACTGTGTAAAAATCTTCTTCAACCTATATTCAATTAAATACAGCCCACAGACAAGATATTCAATGTCCAAACTGTATTGGGGTTTTTTTGTGATTATACACTCATTCTGAGTTTGCTGTCTACAACATGTTTTTAAAAAGTGGGAACTGAGGACACTGATTGTTGAAGTTTTGAAAGGGAAATTCTTTTCTATTCTTGTTTGATATATGATTTCAGTTACTCAACAGTCAAAGTTCTCCATTGTCCTTCATAATGCACTACACATTTTCACTGTGAGCCAACTCTGGACTGCAGGCAAGCCAGTCTAGTACACATGCAAAATGTGTCTCATTATTTTGCTGGCCTAAGCACGAACGTGTCTGAAAGAGACATTGTTTGGGTGGATATGAATTATTCCTCTAGTTTTTCATTGGTTTCTATTCACTTTCTCATAGTATGGAAAACTAACTTGCACAGACTTGAACTTGTTTTATATATGATAACTGTATAGGATCCTCCTTTACATCAATGGGGACATGCTGAATGGCAAAAGCACCTCTCTGTATAATTTAATACAGTTCAACAGTGACGCCAACAACCTTAGAAATGAGTTGAATCTACTGCTCTGTGAAACTGTTTAAATAAAAACTAAAAATTAGCATCATCATGAAGGAGGACTTGGTGCAGGACTCTTGTATATTTGAGGTACATTAATTGTTAGTTTAAGTCTTTCTTTGTTCATAATAAGAAAAATATATAAATCGCTAGCCCTCTCTTTTAACATGTGGAGCACTGTGTCTAATTTGACCCAGTGCTGTGTATGAGCTCTTCTCTTCACTGTGTTACTATCCATTTTTGACACAAAAGGAGATACTGAGATATCAAAAGCTGCTATACTTTAAAACCATGAGATTACATCTATTTGACCAGTACTCAGCTATCACTTTGACATGAACTTGAGGGTGTGGAATAATTGTAGCACTCATAGGCGGTGTTAAATAATCATGTTATTACCGTCCTGTTTCTTGAAGCCGTATCTCCGGCCAGGGCTCTTTCCTCCGAGGTTCTTAACGCTGCCACCAGATTTCTTAGATGCAAATCTCACAGAGTCCAGCAGGGAGGTCTGGCCAGCTACCAACAGACCTGAAACGAGCAGCAGCACAAAGAAATTCATGTCAACTCACTGACACCCCCAGTTTCAGCCCTGATATCTTACAGTCACTTTTTTTCCGTCAGTTTATCAAGATCTGACTTGTTTAATGTGAATTACCAGCGAGGTACATAGCTGAAAATTACTGAAACTTCTGTAGAGCCTGCTTATTTCGCAAAGTGGAGGGAAATAACTGTGCAGAACATAAATCTAATCATTTTATTGGCATAAATAAAGCACCAAAGTAAGTGAATATGTCTCAAATCGACCATGCGACAATTATTATGCACGGACGTCTTCAGTTGTTCACTGATAAGCGTAGTATTATTACAAAAGACATAATTTGTGAATTACAAAATAAGTATTGTTATGTTTACACTGCATCGAGTCTATGACATTCAGTGCTAATATACACATTGAAAGGCTAGCACCGCTAGCTAAGTTAGCATGTCACACATTTAAAGCGTTGTGAACTGCTAACAAAACGCACGGAGCAACTGGGAATAAATGCGCATATTTCTCGCGTTCTCACGAGCAATTTGTGCAAAGAAATGATAAAATATTCATTTAAATAACGTTACTTGATACCTGCTCTGGTCTTGAGCAGCAAGGACGCGAGCGCTGCCATCTTGAATGACATCGCTTGCGTCAATTGCGTCACATCCGGATTTTCTTTGCTGCATTCAATTTCCCCAGGAAAGATGCTGGACCGTAACAGCAAACTGAAAATAGAGTTTATACGTTGTTACCAAAGTGTAGCTAAATGGCATCAAAACTAACGCTTACGTCAGCATAATTAAGAAAATACTACAAACAATAAGTCCCTCCAATAAAATATTCTTGTCTGTTGATTTTAATGCGAGGAAGTATCATGCTTTTTGTAAATCTGCAGCTTAAATGTAACCTTATGATAAATGGCATATGCAGGAGTCTTATTTAAAATTGTAAATTTGATTTATACTAAGGTAAGGTACTCTCAATGTCCTAATATGATACTGATGCAAAATGTGTGTTTTGTAAATAAAATCGAAACAATTTGTCACATTTTATGAATGCCTATGGAGGATATAAATGTGTTTTGGATAGATTTCGATTTTTTAAGACGTTGAGTGGTTCAATTATTTATTTAGAAAAAAAGATTATACTGATAGCGAAAAAAAAAATCCTGTTCATCTTGAACCTCTTTGTTTTCTATGAAAAATTTCACATTCACAAATTCAAATGGACTAATACGATGCCATACATACAACAACTGAAAATAGAAATCAGACACTATTACATGGACCAAAGAACAGTGAAGCAAAGAAAACAAAAGACATTCGTAAACCCTTAAATAATTTCCTTAAAGTTTGTTTAAATGACACCCCTAAGTATATAGTTTTTTGTCTTGTCCTTTGATTAGTTTTCTAGTCAAATTTTATAATTATCTTTATTTTAAGATGATTGATTGTATGGATTGTTGAACACGATACAACAACAACAACAACAACAACAACAACAACACAATAAATGCCTCGAGATTCAATTTAGTAACATTACTTGTAGTGTTTTTAAAACCAAACTCAAATATGTTAACAGACTTCCGGTGGGAAACGGAAGTACAGGGTCGTTCCACAAACTTGAACGCAGCATTACCTTGCAGCCCGGGGCGGGGAAATCAAGTTGAAGGGAAAAAAAGACAGAACTTAAAAAGTAAGTGAAAGCAGGGGTCCTTATTTTAGCATCTTACTTCTTCATTATCCCACGTCTGTATGCATTATGTCGTAGAAACGTAAAGAAACTCCGTGAGTAACGTAAAGCCACTTCCAGCTAACTTAACGTTTGCGCAGCGTCTCTTTTTAGTCGAGTTAACGCCAACTTCGCTGCTTAACGTTAGCTCATGTTTTGTATGTCTGGATAAATTGGGCTTAGCTTACATTGGTATTTCGCCTTTTTTAAAAGGAACATTAATGCTGTGCCAAACTCCATTTTAAAAAACAGTCTATTTCTTATCGGCAAGTTTAGTCAATGTCGGCACAACGTATAAAATATTCACGTTACTTCAAGCGATTTCTGTTATTGGTCGTCCTTATTCTCTGACACCAAAACATACAGCAGTGGGCGGCGACAGTTTGTCTGTTTTGATTATAAAATACAGAATTTGACCTAAATAAGTAATGTTTGGTTGGCTATCTTTACGCCGAATTTAGAAGAATACCTATACTTTCTGTGTATTTTAGATTATGATCTGGCAGACAGTATATCGCTTGTTAAGACACTACGTAAACCACATTTAACAGATTTGTGAACGAAGCTTGGTGGGGTGTCTGTTCCCAGAAGAAAAGGCACTTCTGGGGCTAAGAATAACCTGGTCCTTGATGATCCTCATAGGTGTAGGTTTCGGGAAGAATGCAGGGGACACATTCCTGTCAGTATTTAGAGCATGTACATTTTCATCCCTTAGTTGTTTAAATTAAGGATATTTTCACTTTAGAGGGATGCAGAAAAGGCACAAATTGGTGCATAATGCAGTAATTTATGTGTTTAGTGCTCCAGATTTCATATCAGAGGACCATTGAGACCCCGATTCACCCCCAGTGTGTCACAAAACCTAAGCCCCTGATGATCCTATAGTAATTCTTGTGTCATATCTCATATACAGTAATTTTTTCTTGGACATGACTTAACATGGGCAGCTACAGTGACTCCACCAGTGACCTAGATGAGGAGCTGCCTGTGTTTGACTTCCTCCAGCCGAGTCAAAACCTCAGCCGAGCCCCCCAGAGTTACCCAGAGAACTTAGTTGACCTGGATGTCTCCGATGCAGAAGAGCCAGCCATCTTCTCCCCAGCGAAGGGCAGTGCTGATGTAATGATGATCAGCAGCGATTCTGATGACAATGCACCTTATGTCCCTCTGGCACAGAGACTCAAACAGAGACAAGACAATGTGATTAGTGCCTCCTCCACTGTCGCTAATGAGAAAGATGCTGAGCAGTATTCGCCATCCAATCTGGCCGGCTCACAGCTCTCTTGCCAGAATGGGTTTTCAGAGTCAGAGCAGCCTCTCAGCGTCCATCAGGTGAGAACAGTGAGCCGTGGGGTCTCAGATGTTCCAGATGAGATGGCGACTCTCCCTCAGCAATGGCTCCCTCCCACTGACACCTCTCCTGCCAAGAGGAAACCAGCCAAGCGAACGGCGGAGGAGATCCAGGCCTCCAGGGAGGAGGCTTTGAGGAGGAGGCAGGCCAGGGAGGCACAGCAGAGGGGCAAGGAGGTGCTCAGGCAGGAACAAGAGAGACAGAGAGCAGAGAAAAAAGCTCTGGTAGAGGCTGCCAAGGCCTTGAGGCCAGAGGAGTGTATCAAGCACATGGTGGTGGCTGTGGACCCAGGTACTGAGAAAACATTAAATAATACTCAGCATTCTGCTCAAGTGGATAACAAAATCACTCTGAAGTCAGTTGTGCTCTGTGGCTGTCTTATGTGTCTACTGTGTTATTGTTTTATGCTTTGAAGGCATTATTCAAGCAAGGTTTGTTGTTGACATGATTTGTGTTTGCAGCTCTCTTACAGCTGGAAGGAGGCGGGACTCTCTTGGCGTCGGTGCAGGCTCTGGGCTGTAGCTGTGCCATAGAGAAACAACCCCTCCCACGCAGTGTCAGCTGGATGAGGAGAGCTCCCTGTGCACAGGTGATATCACACATACACACACATTATTTTTCCACTGCTGTGTTCTCTTCAAGGTGAAGCATGAATATATACTTGTCAAATTTCTTGTGACACCTTGCTCTAATTGCCTTAAACAAATGAGACCAGTGTTGAGAATGAGAAGCAGATTTACAAGCACTCATTCAGTAATAATACCACTACACAATAGTATTGAAATATTTAGTAATGAGTGGTGGAGTACTAATTTCCTCTCTGTTTCCCGTGTGTCTCCAGCCAGATGATGGTCAGTGTGTACCAGAGGCCCATGTTGTGATGCACATGACAGTTGACGACTTCATCACTCTGATCCACGGCTACATTCAGGTTGGTGAAGCAGCTGCTGTGCTGCTGCTTGACACACTTTAACTACATCATGTACAGAGCGACTTTAAAATGAGCCCAGATGAAACTTTAATGAGCCTAATGGGAAAATGTGGTCATTCTAATAAACTACAACAGAATAGAGCCATGAGAATAAAGCTGAAGTAAGAACAGAACAGATGGAGGATGTAAGACAACAGAATTTGACATCTGAATATAGTAATAGAGTCACAAGTAGAGATATGTTAATTAAAATATGAACAACAAATATACGTGTACAAATAAATAGAAAGAATTCAATTTACTTTAATGAACATATATCGAAGCAGAAGGTATTTGTTTTTAGTAAAATTTGAAACAACATTGTTCTTTCAGCATCATCACACGTTAGCAATATTAAATAGCTATAAACAAATGGCGAGAATAAACACTATAAATCACCTTCAAACCACAACATAACATATCTGCTACATTTACAATTACTGAGTGCAGTCAGCGCAGAGGGCAGTGGAAGATCTTAACCTAGTTTAGAGCCAATATTGCAGTCGGGGAAAAAAAAGCTGTTTCTGAAATTGTTTGTCTTAGTGGGCAATGATTTATAGCATCTCCCACATAGTAACAGCTACAAGCTGCAGTATCAGTGAGTGGGATCAGAGGTGATTTGGTCTACAGAGCACAAACATGATAAATAAATGCTGAGACAAAGGAATAATGATTGAGATGAGCTAGAGATTTATGTGATATAGAAGTACATCAAAACGAACAAAAGACAAGGCTAATGTTATATCACACTCTTAGAAATAAAGGTGCTAACTACAACCATATAGGGTTCTTTGGCTTGTCCCCACAGGAGAACCTTTTTTCAGGGTTCCTGCAGATCGGCCTTAATTGGTATTAAGAGCAATCTATCAAAAAGCTTAAAAATGCTAAGATATGGGATGTAGGATTTAATGAATCTTTTTTTTTGACAATGCAATGCAGTGTAAAATCTTTAAATGATATATATTTATTTTTAGAATAATTTCCCCATTGTTTCTTGCAATAATGTCACTACATCAGGACGGCAGAACCAACAACTCACATTTTATTTCTTGCCAGCATGCTTAGAGCAGAGACAGATGATCCACTGTCTGCTGCCTAATTGTCACTGCACCCTGAAAGAGAAGGGGAACTTCAGTTTCAATGAAAACTGGCTATGTTCCAAGACTTAACGGCATGGTGTAACAGGTACAAGGCAATGCATATGAGACTCGGAGTATTTCGTGCAAAACTTATTCAAACTTGGCACAATGGGAATTGAGGCAGAGTGAGAAATGTTTTAATGGAACCTGTAGTCTTACAAAGAACCCTTGAAAGACCCTTTCTTCAAAAAGGGTTCTGGATGAAAAGGGTTCTCATTAGAACTCTTGGGGTGCATTCGGCAATACTCCTAATGCAAGAGCGCACTCTGGCACAAACTCGACCGTTCGTAAATTCAGAGCGCTGTTGGAATGTGTCGTTTTGTTATTCAGAACACTGCACTCTTGGAGTGGCAGAGCGTTCTCTGGGCACTGTGGCTGGGGAGATGGAGCAGCAGAGTGCCAAGTGGAGTGAATGTGTGACTAACTTAACTGTTTGTTAATAATGTAGAAAGGAGAACCCTCTCTTTAAAAAAAAAAAGGTTCTTGAGAAGTGAATTTTTGTGGGTAGAACCTTAGCCCTTCAGGAATAAGCTGTTTGGAACCCTAATTTCTAAGAGTGTATCATTTTCTCATTGTCAACTAATCCCACGAAAAGTCCAATAACAGCAACACTGTCTGCAAATCTATAGAAACACCTCACAAGAATATAGTTTCATTTTTAAAAAGTCTCCATAATATTCTAAAACAGCCGGTAGTAACAAAATGTAGCTTTTATCAAACGTTACTCAAACAGGAGGAAATAGTGCATTTGTTAGGGACTGTTTTCAGTGGCAGATTAATCCATGTTTGTTGTTGTAGTAATTATTTACAGCAGCGGGGTGGTATGTGTGGATGTATTTAATGCAGGAGGAGAGGCATGGCAGGTCTGGCACCAGTCCGACTCTGACGTCCTGGGTGCAGGAGCAGCAGAGGCGTCACCCCACTAAGATCCTCAGTCTGGTGGTCATCGAGCTGGAGAAATACTTCAGGTAGGGAAGGACAGCATCAGTTCTGATTAATTGTTTCGTCTATAAAATGTCAGAAGGCGACATCTTTATAGTTCCTGTTTTGCCCGACCAACAGTCTGAATGTCAAACAGTTTCCAGGGATATAAAACAGACAAAAGCAGCAGATCCCCACAGGAGAGCCAGGAAGTAGAGATAATAAATAATTAATCACTTGTGAAAATGGCGGATAGATTTTGTGTTCATCTATAGTCGACCAATCATTTCAGCAATAATTTATGTAGGCAAATGTGAGGTGGCAGTAGCCTAGAGACAGCTGGTTCCAGTTTGGGCAACAGAGACAACATAGGAGAGGGTAAAAGACAGGACATAGGTGTTCAACGTTGAAGACACTACTGCTGATGAACCTTTGAGCGAAGCACTGAATCACTTCACGGCTGCAGTCAGTGTCTGACAGTAGAAGAGGACTGATTGATTTGGTGGAGATGGCAGAGGATCCAGTGTGAATGTGTACAACAGTGTGAACTATAGCACTTGATAAAATATTAAAAAACAAGGAATGGCACTCAGATACGTTGTAAACCCACCTAAACACCTCTGCTGCTGCTGCTGCTGCTGCTGCATGTGGAAACATGTCAGCTATCACTGTCAGCAGAGTGTGCCACAACTCAGCCGGGAACAGTGAGAACGAAATATGTGTGAAGAGGGGAAATGGGGCACAGGGAGCTGCCCAGACTGGAGGGAGTCCTGACATTTATGACTTTTTGTCCTCAGATCCCAGAAGTCACAAAGCCAGAAGCGATTTCGAGAGGCAGTTGCGGGTGAGGAGCGAGGAGGAGGACAAGTGAAGAAGAGAAGGAGGAATGGTGGAGCTGAGGTTCTTCCTGAGGTTTCCCGGGTTGAATTAGAGGAGGTAGGTTGGTTAGTAGAGGTAAGTACATAAGCATTTTTTATAATCTAAAACAGACTTTGTGAAATTATTTGCAGTGAAACTGATTCCCATTAATTTATCCATTGCCGATTATGTCATTTTTATGCCCTATGCCGGCAATAGCTGTGGCCGGACGCAATATGTTTTTGGGTTGTCCTACTGTCCACCCCATCCCCGTGAATATGATATCTCAACAATGCCTCAAGGGAATTCCTTAAAATTTGGCACAAACATCCACTTGGACTCAACGATGACCTGATTAGAATTTGGTGGTCAAAGGTCACTGTGACTTTGTTGTCTCATTCTTGTGAGTGTCATATCTCAAGAACACCTGGAGGGAATTTCTTCAAATTTGGCACAAACATCCACTTGGACTTAAGAATGAACTGATTAGAATTTGGTGGCCAAAGGTCAAGGTCTGTCACCTCACAAGACAGCCCTTCATCAGACATGTATGATGAAGGGCTGGTGCCTAATACGTCACAAGTGGTGATACGATTAAGATTTCTGAAAGGAGCAGGTTCTAGTGTGCTGACCTGCTTTTGTATTTTTGCATGCTGTTGGTAGCTCATTAACTTATGCTGTGTATCAAATCGCGTACTTCTGTTCTTACACTTACTATTTTGAGTGCATAAGTGCGTTCACACTGAGAAGTATGGAACAATGCAGTGCACTATGAGTACCCGGATGGCGCACTCAAAACGGTCAAAAAGTTGGAACTATGGACACTTCTCGCCATCAATGGTCACCATCTTGGCTACATTGCGGAAGGGGAGGGACCACTTTTCAAACTGGAAATAGTGGCCGAGGACTGTGCGACCATGAATGTTGATGCATTGTACAAATACACGTTTTTTGCACTAAGCACCACTATATTGTTGTCAGGTATGTTTGTTGGGTTAATTTAGCAGTCTGTAATGATTTGGTACCACGAACGATAACGCGAATGCTAATGCTAGTTTGCTAACTAGCTAATTTGCAGTCTTCATTTTCGGTGAGTGCACAATGGCCGTGTTTGGTTTGAGACAACACTACCCTGTCGAAATTTGCGCACTACGCCAATGAGTACATAGTGCACACAGTATACTAACGGAAGTATGTGATTTGAGACACACCATTAGTCTTAGCTCTGTGTGGCAAAAAGTTGCAGATTGATTAGTGGGTGATTGAAATTAGTTGAAAGAAGAAGAAATGTATTTTGTATTTTTTTGGTATATATTCTTAAATAGGTGCACAAAATGTCTGGGGATGTGATCTGAAAGAGTTAAAAAAGCATTCATCTGGACTCAAAAGGGTATTTGTCTAAGGGGGTAAATAAAGCATTAATTAAAGTTATGTTAAGGGATTTTGTCTTCATAGTAATTCACATTGTTCTTCCCTCCATTATCCCATCAGGCAGTGGTGCATCTCCAGCTTCACACAGGCGTCTCTGTCCGCTTCTTGTCAACCTGGAAGGACTTCTCCGATCATATCACCATGACAACCAAAGCGGTTGCAGAAGCCCCTTTTAAGTGAGTGATCCTAGTTTTAGCTTCGGTCTAGCTCTCTTTCTGTCAGATCAAACAGTCATCTCCCATGTTCCTGTGTGTGTTTTCAGGCGAGAGCGAGAGAAGACAGGCTTCTCTTTCCACCTGGAGAGTGAGTGGGCGGGGGGGCAGCGGGTGGATAAAGCTGGGAAGGGACTGCTGCAGGTGTGGAAGAGACAGATCCAGCAGTTTAACAGAGTCAGTCCAGACATGGCCTCAGCCATCCTGGCAGCGTATCCCTCCCCACAGCTGCTCAGGAAGGTACACTCACTGCTGACACTCTCCTCATAGCAGCACAATTAACTACCTTTGTATCTCTCACATTTTTACCCCAGGGTACGTTATAACAAGATTGTTTTTTTGGTGACATATTTCCTCATTATAGCACCGTACTATATTATAACATTTAACAAGAAGCTTTTCTTGTAATAACAGCACACCACTTTCATCTGGTTGAATTGCAAAACTATCATGAAACTTTCTTGATCAACAAATCTTTTAAGTGTATTGATGTCTGTGTTGGTGTACTGCAATAATGAGAAAAACATCCAGTCAGTGCCTAAAGACAGACTATATGGGCCAGAAAACAAGTTGACACTGACTGATATAAATCATTTGATTAAGACTCAGTTCATGCCCAGGATGAAGCACATCCATGTCCTGTGTCCCTGACGCATTAAAATCTTAAAAGATGCAGTAAACTCACTACTGAAGCGTCCAGGGCACGTACTGTTATTTTTTCTGATAATGCTACATTATGAACAACAAATCCTTGCTGCAATCATAGAAACAGTGGTGTCACCTGACATTTCTTATTTTGAAAGTTTTCTCATGTCACAGAAACCACTAGCGGTGAAACTTGTGTTTTGTATGTCATTATCATACTGTCAGTGATGTGTTGTTTTTGTTCCGGTGCTCTGCACAGATCTGACACCTGCTAGCCTGCTCTCATCCCCAGCTCTCTGAAGCTTGGTGCGCTGCTGTTGCCTGGTAAAAGGCAGCAGTGTCTGAGGCAAAGGGTTGTTATTTTTAGGGTGTTTTCACATATAGTCCTTTTTAAACAAACTGAACTCAGTCCTCTTAATCCACAGGTTAAGTGAACCACACCGCAGACTTGAAGCCAACCAATGTTGATGTTGTGGCTGTGTATGGTTCTTCCACACACCACTGAGGCTCCTGTTTGTTAAATGAAAAATTGTTAAATTGCCAATATGTCTCGTTTCCTCAGACTTCAATCATCCAATCCACCAAACACCAAACAAGAGTCAACAGCAAAAAAAAAAAATGCTGTTTGGCATTGGCAGAGAAGATTTGGCAATTTTTTCATGGGCACAACCCACATACTCAGCTCTGCTGCTCATCCCACAAAAGGGAAATAAACAGGCTTTCCAGCGGTGTAAGATTTACTGCTAAGAAGCATTGTTACAACAAAGAAATAACCAAACACAAATTTCCTTACTTTTTTGCTTAGTTTATATTTCAATAGGCTCCTAATAAACAGTCCAGATCCAAAAATAGAAAATCTACTTGTGGCAGCAGATGTTTTAATCATTGCGAGCCACCACAAATTAATGAATGTGTGGGGAAACCCTGGGTACTGTGCATCCTGGTTCACTGAAATAGCTTATTGGGACACTTAATGGCACTGAGTCATCATTAATTTATAAATTTCACGTGTGATTTTCCTAATATGACAAGTCAAAATGTCTGCTGTGAAAACAGTCCATGACTAGAAAATTATTATATAAATATTTTGTTATATTGTGAAAATAATCTTGTGAGAATTGGCTCATTTTCTTGTCATGATGATAATAAATTGAGCAGATTGTTTTTGTCATGGCAAAAGCAATATGCTGCCTTTTTGTTTCAAGGCTGACTTTAACCTTTGACAGATTCAAAATTATCTGTCACCGAGTTGGCATATGAGCAAGATTACAGCCTTAATGTGGGTTCTGACGAATTTTCACCTCTTTTTTTATTGTTTGTGATTATTTGACCCAAACAGCTTATACATATATTCAGTAGACTGTGCAAATGTTAGCTGTAGGTCGCTATCAGTCTATGCAGTGACTGTGTATGTGTTCAGACTGCTGCTTTCCTTCTTATTTCTGTAAGTTTGTGTATTTCGGTCAGACGGTGTCGGAACACGCATACATTTTCCTGAATTCCTTTATTATTAGTCTTTGACCTTCCTTTAATGTTTTTCTTCCCTTCCCTGCTTTTCTGTTGATTATATGTTTCTTTCATTACTGCTGCATTTTAAAAAGCAGCGTCTATGCCAGTGCAGCCTCATTCTTACTACAAATACATCTTTCAGATAACACCCATTTTTTTTGCCTCAGGATGTTAAGTGCAGCCTACAAGAAAATGACTCTTTTATGTCAGTTTAAATACCAAGGCAACACATCTAGGTGGAAACATTTTCAGTCGTATTCAAAGACACACGTCTGCAAACATATTAGAATATTGTAACTTTTTTTTCTTTTTGTTAATACTAAAAATTTTCCTGTCTTTCCGCAGGCTTACAATCAATGTAAGAGCGACCATGAGAAGATCTCCCTGCTGTCTGACCTTCTTATCCGCAGAGGAGAAGGCGTCACCTCTACGACTCGCCGCGTCGGCCTGGAGCTTTCCAAACGCCTCTTCATCCTAATGAACTGTTGCGATCCTGAGCAGTCTCTGGACTCCACTGTCTGATCTTTGAAGTTAGACTCCTATAATTTTTGGACTTTGGCAGTTTCTATTTAACACAGAATTTCATAGTAGATGGAGGTCTGTTTTTATTGCATTTCAGTTTCTATTTAATCATGAATATTAAAGTTTTATAAAGAAAATAAGCATTTTTTAAGTTTGCTATCCTTAAGTAATAGTTTCTAAGAAATGTCATACACATTGATTTATGGGAAATTCTCAGAGTTTTCAGTGTGGGTCTTTTTCTCAAATTGTGGTCATTCTGACAGGTTCATGCTAACTTTACACTCACTATCTCTACGACAGAGACTCCAGCAAAACATTGTATATCACTGGACATCATATAAATAAATAAACCTCAGTTTGACATGAGAGATGGTGTGGAATTTTTGCACTGTCCCATTACTGTCACCAAAAGTTGACCTTTGACCTTTTGTGTATAAAATGTCATCACTTCATCATTATATCCTTTTAGACATCTGTGTGAAATGAATTCTTGAGTTATGGGAGGTGAGGTCACAGTGACCTTGACCTTTGACCTTCAACCACCAAATTCTAATCAGTTTATTGTTGAGTCCAAGAGGGCGTTCATGCCAAATTTGAAGAAATTCTCTCAGGGTGTTCTTGAGATAAAATGATCACGAAAATGGGACAGACAAGATCATGGTGACCTTGACCTTTGACCACCAAAATCTAATTAGTTCACCGTTGAGACCAAGTGAAATTTGTGCCACATTTGAAGACATTTCCCTAAAAGTGTTTTTGAGATAGAACTAATCAGTTCATCATTTAATTTTCTGCCGAATTTGAAAAACAAAAAAAAGAATCCCTGAAGGCATTCTTGGGATTATCAAATTCTCAAGAGTGGGAAAGACGAGAAAAAAAACCCTAATACCTCCGGTTACGGCTATCGCTGGTGCAGAGGCATAAAAAATATCCAGTGATTTACAGACGTCTTTTTCACAATGTAAGTCTCAGGGGAAAAGTGTTTTTGGGCGCAATGGCATCACATGACAGACCTGGAAGTTGTAATTACACAGTATGTCTAATTGGCTTCAGCCTGGTGCTGGTGCTGTTGCTGGGGGCTTGATATTGTAGTAGCTAGCTTCACACCATGACTCAGCCTCAGTTATGAGAATAGGACCCAAGAGGAAAACTACAGGACTTTTCTTTCAAGTGACCAGTTTTTTTTAAAAAAAAAGTTGAAAGCCATGTTCTTGGTACTTTTAACAATGAAGATTTGCAGTAGGCCTGATTTTTATTACCTAGGCAAGAATGCTTTACTCGTGTTGGGACAATATCTCTGTGACTCACTTCTGATTTGGTTCAGTTACTCATTATGTACAGAGTAACTCACAGCCTCTATATTTTTTTAGTCGCTGTCCAGTTGAATTTCATGTGACTAACCCCTGAGCCTTCTGTGTCATCAGGTTCTCCCATGTCATCTTTGCCTGTGTGTGTCGAGCCTTGTTACGCCTGGCCCTGTTTGTGTTTTCATGGTGTGCAGCGGAAAAATGCCCCCATGAATCTGCTCCACTTCTCTTTGTAATGCCCACGGCTCATTTCCACCACATTAGCAAAAAATGGAACCTGACCAAGAAGTGATGAGTGCCTGGAACAGAGGGAAAGAGGGAGAAAGAGACGGATGGGTAACGAGCTGTTAAATGGGCTTAAGAGATGAGCAACATGCCTCACCCCAGGTGCTGCATACAGAGACAGAGACACTGAGAGGTACAACAGTCCACAGTGACAGAAGAGGCTCAGAGAGGGGAAAGGAATCCAATAAGCTGGGAAATTAATACAACATAGACACAGGCTTACTCGTACTATAAAATACAGCATAGGGTAAAGACCCCCCTCTTTGGTATGCGTTCTTCCCACTGATCCCTTTAGCTACAATAGGCAACGTTTATATAAAAACAAAAAAACTTTTTTGTCACATTGCTAAAACTGTCACTATATCCTGGCAGTAGTACATGAGGCAGAAAATGTAAATCAGCTTCCTCTGGCTCCTCCTAGTTGTCTTAATGGCATTTGCAAAGATCCAACATGGCTGAACAAAAACAACCAATCAGAGCCAAGGAGTCTCTCATGTCGGTCATTGCTAGTGCGCACAGTAAAAGACAAAGAAACAGAGCAAGACTGATAATGAAAAGCAGGTAAAGAGAAAGAGGTAAACCAAGCCTGAGATAAAATATGAGTAAACATCCGAACGCCTATTCCGAGGTGGAGGTAGCTACAGAACCTGAAAGATTCAAAACCAAAGCTGGGTAATAGTAATAGTTGCAAGGCAACAGTGGTAAAAGTACACCTAAGATTAGATCTATGGCACACTTCAATATGGAGTCATTTCTTAGGGTGCTTTCTAACCTAGAGTTTGCTTGCATTGGTCCGAATCAGGGATTAGTTTTGTTACAAAGTTGCATAATTGCCTCGAGTTGGTTTGTGTTCTCACAGCAGCATTTACAAGCAGACCAGATCAAATGCCTTGCTTGAAAGAGCTACTCTTGAATGGTCAGAATTTACATGTAGGAAAAATCCAGAAAGAAAAGAAAACACTGAAGAAGAGCACACTTGCAAGATAAATGCAACACGTTCTAATGTCAATGTGGAGGGACAACTACGCAGGTTGATTTCAGCACTGGTCATCGTGTACTTTATTGCTTGTATTGTTCATTTTAGTCAAATCATACAGTTTGAAAACGAGGCGCAGCACCAACTAGAAAACAATGTTTTGATGCATTGGATGTGCTGAATGTGCATATTAAGGCAGTACAGGAGGAGGCACACATTAATAATCCTCCAGGACTGTAACATGCTCATGTTTAACCCAAACAATGTGTCATGTGACTGCAGTTGGTTCGGATCTAGGTTGGAACACCACAAATGAACCGGACCAGAGTTCATTTGTAACCGGACCAAGACCACCTTTTCAAGAAGGTCTTGGTCCGGTTATTTTGGTGTGCACCCGAATGCGATTGCTGTGTTCACACCTGCCCAAAAGGAACCGCACTTAGGGGGCAAACAAACTAGAGTTCAATTGAACCAAAACCAGACAGGGTAGGTGTGAAAGCACCCCTAATGAAAAAAAGCAAACCTATTTTGCGAGCCATTCCCCTTTAAGGGAATGTTTATACCAAATTACAATAAACCTAATTTATTATAACAATCTTCATTTGTGTGTTTTTGAAAAGCCAAGTTACAAAGTGCTTTTCACAAGGCAAAAAATAAATAAATAAATAATAAAAACAATCAAAGGCAATGGAAAAAAATACATATCTAAAGACATTAATATTTTTATATAAATAAACCTGCCCTGCATCAAATGGCAGATTGATGAAGTTGGCAATGAACTGGTGAACATAGTGGAACACTCAGCAGCTAAAGGCCCGGATATTTTCCCCAGGAGACCATGACAGAGCCATTTCAACTTTACAAGGTCATGATGTTTCAAATGTGTATGATTATTAGTTTACTGTGGAGTTCTGCCTCCAAGGGGCCATAAAAACAACAAAAACATTAATGTAGCTTTAAACTGGACCAGAATAGAGTGGTGCAGGGATGAAGGTTTTTCTGGAGGCCGACTGGGAAGTTAGCATCATCCTGTTCCCTCAACTAAAACCCCAGTGGAATTATTCTACTTGATTTTGGATTATTGCAGAAAATAAGCTCTGTGGCAAAAAGAAGATTATAATACGTACATGCAGGCCCGTCCACAGAAATACAGAAATGACTGGGCCCTCCCCAAATCGGCTTGACGGTCATTTGGCTGGCCTCCCGCATTTTTTAAAATCATTTATTTCATATTTTTAAAAGACTCATTCCATTTTCATGAGCATCTCCACCACAACTAGGCTGTGAAAGCAATGTTTGGTGGAATGACATTCTGTAGTCTCATGTAGCCACTTGTTAGCAAGAACTTTTTGTAAGACACGTAAAGGCTTCAAGATTGACGTGTGGGGTATGTATGGAAGTATTTTATGTGGTGGAACTAAACGTTAAAGTCTCATAAACAGACCTTATTTCAGGCATTGAACCAAAAACCCATTCAATAACCTTATTGACTTACAGCGAGGGAATCAGAAGTGCAAAGATACTAACTAATTTCTGGGATTTAGGATTCATTCTGGCACCACTCTCTTTGATTGATAAAAACAAATGTCAGTAAAATAACATAAAACAGAAAGAAAAAGGAGAAAAAATAAGTCCACAAACTTGAGTAGGATACATTCTTCAATAAAATCATTCAGCCAGGCTTATTATTTTTAGTTTGTTTATAGCCTTGACATTTAAAACCCAATCTATTGTGAATAGATGCTGCCAGGAGTGGGTGAGGTTAGGTTTTTTCTTACCATTTCAGTTGAAATGACCATTTTAATACCCCTCACACTCTCCTGACTTTAAGAGGAACTGCTGTAGAGTCTACTGTAACATCAGCTGTGTATTGCAACTGTGTCTATAATTGGTTCTGTCATCATTGGCCCAAAGCTATTGTTACATTACATGATTCAGTAACTTTAAGTCCATATAGTCATGCAGGAGGAGCAGTACTCTTTCTTGGGATACTCTGAGCTCAGGTCACAGAACTTAGCAATTACAGTGAAAGATATGCAGCTCCTCTCTACCTCAGGACAGGCCTGTGCTGCTCATCCTTTCTTGTTTGCTTCGAGCTGAGGGAGACTTCAAGGGTACCAGTGGGATTGATCAAAAAACAGAAAAGGGGTTGTGTGGAGCAAAAGTGGGAGATGTGTAAATGTCTCATCCATAGCAGCGTTATTTCCCTCTGGCCCCCCCACCTCTGTTTGACCTCAACTCAAAAGGAAGAAGGGTTTCATCTTAGAAATGGAGAAATATGAAAAGCAATGCTTCAGAGCATCACATGTCACTGTCTGTTTATCTCGGCACATTTTGACTTCAAGATTCGGTTTGATGATGCACGAAAACATGTAATCGTGGCATTTATGTACAACAACACCACACTTGGTGATAAGACTGCACTTAGAGAATTTAAAAGGCACCATTTCATACTGGTACAGGGCAAAAGTGGTGCACCATTATATTCTACCATAGCTCTGTCATTCCACTGACAAAGGAATGCTTTTATCAAATGTAGCAAACAAAATACAGAATAAAATGGTTTGTCCTTATCTTAAATGGATACCATCAGATGCAAGATTTCTGTATAAAGATAAAATAAATAAAAAACTCTCTGTTTATTGCCCCTGTCAGACATGACACGTCATGTAAATATACTGTTGCTAGGTCAGTTTTACAGAGAAGTCCCAAACAAGCAGCAACCTCCAAGACTGAAAAATGAAGCCAACTCCAAAGTTCCAAAAACTGCAGTTCTTCCAATGGCCACTTGAGGCTGA